ACAAGGGACCATTCTCCTTATTTATGGGGTGATTTCCCACAGGGAACCCCCTCTCCTTCACTGTCCCAGCTCCAGCCGAACAATCCAAGGCAGAGATATGGTACCTCAGCCAAATTCTCATTTGTTCCCCAGCCCATTGTGGGGCTAAATGAATGGTGACTAACTTCTCTTCCCCCTTCAGTTTCTGTGCCTCCTGTACACACACCATTAAAACTATTCCTTAGCACTGAATTCCCTCAGTTGAGCTGCCAGCAGCATCTCTGTTTCCTTAATAGGAGTCTGAGCCATGAGAACAGCCACCCCGATAAAGGTTAGGCAAAACCCTGCAATTGTTCCAGACTTCCCTGTGAAAAATGGCTTTTCTTCCAATTTTACTGAAAGAAGTGTGGTTTCCCTTTCATGGATTTCACTAAGAAGGAATTAGAAACTGAATTGGAATTTGGCTTTTGTAAAGATAGATGGCATTTTACGTGAGAACATGATTGATAAACAATGTCCGTAAAGAATTTCACCTTAGCACATTCAATAGAAGCTATTAGGAGGTTCATGGAGGAATGAGAAGACAGGCCCTGTTCATACTTTTTCAGGTTTGAATAGGCCAGGGAAGGGAGGCTTTAGAGCCATTTGTTGGTTATGTTTACAGTAAGTCAGGACCCCTCAAATAGTACTTGGGTTGACAGATTGGCTGCAGATCCTCTAAATTTGACACAGCTGGGTTCCTAGTCCTCTACTTAGCTGGTTGGCATGTCCCTTTGCACCCTGGCTGCTGCAGTTTCCTTTGCATGTGAAGAGTGGTGTTCAGGAGAAGTGATTCTGTAACTGGAGAGTGACCAGATGAGGTACCCACCAAGAATTCAGCGGACATCTGAGCTGCAGAGGCCTAGACTTGTCCTCATGAGTGGACCCTAACTTTATGTGTGTGAACTGGTGAGAGGATCAGGTGTCTCCATCTGGAATAGGAATCCAGGTGAATAGCAGAACTCAGTGAGAACGGAAGGTCACAGCCACCTGCTGGAAAGGGTTGAAGTGTTAAGTGTGTATATGAAGCCTAGAGGAATACAGTTCTGTGGGGTTTAGAATGTTTTATTTAATGGTAGTAAGGAAAAACAGTGGCCTTGCATTTAACACAGTCACAATATAAATCCAAGTACTCTTCTTCTTTTTTTTTTTTTTTTTCCTATTAAAGAACTCTGTTCAGATCCAAAGTCCATTTGTTAACTGGGTCATTTGTTTCTTTGACTCTGTTTTTTGAGTTCTTCATTCATTCTGGATATTAACCCTCTGTCAGATCTATAGCTGACAAAGGGTACTACTACTTAAGCCCTTTTCTTTCTTTCTTTCTTTCTTTCTTTCTTTCTTTCTTTCTTTCTTTCTTTCTTTCTTCCTTTCTTTCTTTCTTTCTCTCTCTCTTTTTTGTTTGGCTATCATTCAAAAACTGGACAAAACTAACCATTATTGTCATAGTTTTTAGCCTCTTGCTAATAAAGACTTCCCAGAATTCTATACATGGATATCAATGAATAAGCAATTATGTGGAAAAATTCATGTAGTTTTTAAACATCCCTTCCTTTTATTTGTGAGGTAACATTTGTGGCCCACAGTTGTTGCCACAGAACCAGGCTCCTGTGAAATTTCCCTTTCCCTAAGATTCAAGGTGGAATCTTAGCACATGCCTCTTGTAATATCATTGATACTGTCCCTTACTGTTTTTGTTAGCTTGTTTGATTTTTAGTGTAGCCGGGAAAGCTTTAGCACACTGATTTCCAGGAAGAGAAACAAACTAGATCACTTTGCTAATTAGCCTGTGAGGAAGGACATTTGCACTGCTGGGAGACAGTTGCTGGCCTCTCACTTATGCTCATCTTGAGAGGGAGCCATTAACTACCCTTTGTCTTGGACCATCTTTGCAGGAAAGAGCTAATGACCTTGGAAGATGAAGCTAATGTCTCCCCCCAGAACAAAAGGCAGATTTGCTAATTATCCTGTATAATAAAGCCAATGTCCCCTTCAGGAGAAAAGGAAGGCTTGCTTACAGTTCTCTTTAAAGATCCAGTTCTCTAAGCTCAGAGTCCTCCCCAGATGCCTGCCACCACTCACACAGGGTGGCACTCAGCTAGATCCACCCACTCCTCCCTGCCTGTGCTATGGCACAAAGCCCTTTCCATGATTCCTTTGTCTTCTGACAGTGTCCATAATGGAGTGGCAGGAAGTGGACAGCATGCAAGGTAGACAAAAGCCCTGGATCCTTCCCAGTTCTTGACAGTTACTCTAGCACTGCATTTACAAAGATTGGCAGAGAAAGTGCTAGGATTATATTTAATATGCAGACTTGAAATTTTGTATGTTAGTTTTATCGTATCATTTGAATTAACAACACTTTCTAAATCTCTAAATATATCATTGTCTAAAAACATCTACCCCCCCCACCCCAAATAATAAGGTGTTTGGCTTTTATAGGGCTGAGTTTCATATAGTATTAGAGCAATTTGTGATTTGTTATCTAAGTGTCTACCAGTAGCTTTTTGCAAGCTAAGAAAAAATATAAATACTTTCTATCTATATATCTGTATATGAAAAACATCCTCAGTGTTCTGTCAGCTCAGCTCTTTTGAGAGAATCGCTTTATGTTAGAGATGAGGATTTCTTTCCTCATGCCAGCAAGGCAGTGGAAGCCAGCCCAGTCTATTTCACAGGGTCAGCCATGTCTTCCAAACCTTTTGTTTAAGTGGTCAGTTATTGCTTTAAATCCTTTCTCAGTATCCTTCGATTGACACTGAAGGATTTGTAGTATTTCAAATGGTTGAATGAAAAGAATGGTATCTTTTGTGGTTTGAATAGGAATGGCTGCCCTAGGCTCATGTATTGAAATGTGTTTTCCTAGTGAGTGGTATACTTGATAAGGATTAGATTGTGACTTGTTGGAGTGTGGGTGTTCTTGTTGGAGGAAGTGTGTCACTGGGGGTGGGCTTTGGGGTTTCAAAAGCTCAAGTCAGGCCCAATGTTTCTTTCTTCACGTTGTCTGCAGATCCAGATGTAGAACTCTCAACTTCCACAGCACTGTGCCTTTGTGCATGCCACCATGCTTCCTACCATGACAACGATGGACTCAACCTCTGAAACTACAAGCAAACCCCAATTAAATGCTTCCCTTTGTAAGAGTTGCCATGGTCATGGTGTCTCTTCACAGCAATAGAACACTGACTAAGACAATATCCAATGTTCAGAAAAGCACAACAATCAGCCATGTGGTTTCTGTGATGAAGCAGCAAGGACCCGGGCTTATACACTGAACTCTGCAGGTGTCCTGAACTTGAACCCAGGTCCTAAAGAATAACCTGCACACCCACCTAGTTCACTGAGATGCTTAATACCAATGATTAGAAGATAACTGTATAAAGTGTTGGCTGTTACGATGCTGCCCTGAGTCAGATAAGATCTAGTTAACTAACACCTTGACCCCAACCTTGAACTGGAGGTGTGCACCTTCACCAAGTGATTATTTGACATCTCAGAGTTAGAGATACTCAGGTGGTATATCCATGATTTTGAAATTCATCAGGTTTCAAACAGGAGAGAACAAACTTGAGTGCTATAATCGAAAGTTTAAGGTTTCCATTTAGTAATTAATATTGTAGTTTTTCATTTGATAAAACATATCCTATGCCTGCTATATACCAGCCATTATTAAGATGTAAAAATAATAGAAAGATTTCAGAGATTTCCCAGAGGGGATAAACCATGACCCAGGTAAAATTCAAAATTGCCACATATCTTGTAAATAAAGTTTTATTAGGAAAAATAATAGTTAGTGCTTACTTCTAGCACTAACATGTCACCTCTAGCTCACAAGTCATCTATGGATGCAGCGCCAATTTGAAAAGTTTCAAGAAAATTTGGCCTGCAAAGTGGAAATGCTTCCTATTTCATGTCTGGGGCCTCTCATAAAAGTTGATTGACATCAGGTCTAGTGTTAAGAGGGAGGATGCCGTCCACATTCCTAGTCTACACAAGCATTTCTAGGGAGCAGTTGCAGGTTTCAAGGCTTCTCCTGTCACCCAGTCATACATAGTTTAGATGATCTGTCACTGCAGAAAATCTGGAATCCCATGGAAGAGCAGAAACAAGGAACATAATGACCACTGGCCCAATGCCTTTTTATTCACATGTGTGAATATAAAGGAAGAACCTAAGGGAAAAAATGAGAAATAGGAAAGAAGAAGCTGGGTGAAAAGAAAAGAGAATATATCCTAAAATAACACAGCTGGGCAAAGAAATAAAGCAGCAAAGGAGGCGTACTTGAATATGCAGCTGTCAGATATTAGAGCTGAGCAATCAGGTCTGAGGCTGTGCTGGGAGTTAGGCTGGAAGGGGGCATCCTGCCCCCTTCCCGTCGGGAGTACCTGCCTACTGCCAATGCTGCCTTTTCCCGTGTTGCTTTTCTTATTGCTGCAACAAAATATCTGACAAAAGCAGCCCTGGGCGGAGGGGTGTTAGGATTTGTCCTGGTACACAGTTGCCAGAGGTAGTGGTCACATTGAGTCCATACAGTCAAGAAGCTGATGCTCAGCTTGCTTCCTTCTTTTCATGTAGGCTCATGGGAAGGGATTAGCTACACTTAGGATGCATTGCCCAGGTAATGCTAGATGGATCCTGTGAGGATGGCAATCAATGTTAGCCATCTTGGTACATGCGAGTCTGTGGCCTTTGGCTCTCCAGATCCCTCCTTCTGTACACCTGCTCCCATTGTAAGGATACTTACAAGGTGACCTAGGGAAGGCCCATGGTCCTCTGGGATGCTCAGGATATTGCTGACCAGTTCTGCAACAGACAAGGTTGCTCTTTGCTTCCAAAAGCTGATGGTTAATTGTTTCTAACAGTAGATTTTTTCTCTTGCCCCCAAATGATTGTTTACTGCAAAAAAAAAAAAAAAAAAAAGTTTGGAAAAGGATAAAGAACCAGGCAGGATCCATATGTATAGAAGTTTTTCCTCATTCTTCCAGGAATTTTTCTTTAAATGTGGAGCACACCCGACCTCTGACAAGGAAACATCAGTGGCTTTGAACCTGATCGCCAGCAACAGTCGCAACATCACCTGCATAGCGTGCACAGATGTCAGGTAAGGCTCTCAGGGACAGGCCCTCGGTGGCCTGCTTTCCATCCTCTGTCCTCTGGCAGACCTTCCTTGGAGACTCTCCATGGTGCACATCTGTGTCTATGATGCCACCAAATCTGGGTATATAATGCTGTGGTGAAATTATGACACTGCCAATTGCTTGGATTAGTCAGTAGTCAAATATGAGACAAAATATAAAATTTAGTGTAATCTTGGTTCATCTACACATGTAAACTCACCCAATATCAGTGAGCTCTGAAGTAAAAGTAAAATATGGTGTTAGCATTAGTAGTGGAATAACAATTTATGAACATTACTAACTATTGCCAGGCCATTTTATTTTTAAAATATCTTCTCCATACATTTGAGTTCTTCCATGTGTTTGTCTCCATTTGTATTGTGGCTTCTCATACATCCCTGTATCCGGATGAAAGCATGCAGTTACTTTCAGGGGCAGTTATTTCAAACCCTGTGAAATACAGGAAATGCACAGACCATGTGAGAGGGAAGGGAGAAACACAAAAGGACATGGATTCTGGTTTAGGAGTCAAGGTTAAGGCAGGAGAAACATCATCTCCTGGATCTGCAGAGTAAGCAGCAGAGAGGGAAATACCTCCTCATTGCAGATGCAGAGAATAAAGAAGGCATGTGTCCTCAGAGGTTAGCTAAGAAGCATGGAACGCAAAGGTGGGGACTTAGATTTCATACTAGGAAGAATGAAACAGGCATTTCAGCATTGCTGCTTCTTGGCCTTTGGGACTCAAGGAGGTGCCCCTTTGAATTTACTTCATGATGTCATAGTTGGTGTTAATACTCCTGGCTTGGTATTTCCATATTTTACTAGCTTTGAATTTTAACACAAAGAAGCTTAAATATTTTAAGAATAGCTGTTGGCCAAACCAGTCTCCACCACCGCGTTTTCCTTGCTTCTCATGTTTAGTCACTGCTCTGGTAGAAAAATGCCACAACAATGCCCACAAATTGCTGTGCTTGACCTACTTTTCACTAGGGCAAAGTGAATGACCACGTAGAGAACATACTTTGAAAGGACGAAACAATGCTTCTAGTATTTCAGGAAGGAGCCAGACAGTTCTACAAATGAGGGCTCACCTCTTCTGATAGCAACAAGTAATTAAAATCACCTTCTAGTTTTTTAAGGAAACATTTTTCTTAAGCCAAGTAGAGCCTACCAGTCAGCACTGATAAAGATGAAATTGGGATGTAAGTGAGGAGAACCTGGAGAGTAATTATGAGTACCTGCTGCTCTTCCAGAGGACCTGAGTTCAGTTCCCAGCACCCACTCATAATTCAGCTTACCACCATCCATAACTCTAGTAACCAGGGGATCTGACACACTCTTAAGGTACCCCCATACACAAGTCTCTCTCTCTCTCTCTCTCTCTCTCTCTGCTGTCTGTCAGTCTGTTTCTCTCACACATATATGTATAAATAAAAATAAAGACCATTAAAAAAGGCTTATGCTGCCTGACTGTGAACATCTCCCTCACATCCCATTTTTATTAACAACAGACAATCATCTTTAGAGCAAAGTAAGCCACCTCCTAGATACTTGGGGAAATAAGTGTTGGACAATTCATGTTGTTACAATAAGATTTTTCCTGTTAGTATTTCACACGATTTAGTAGAGGTAAACAACCATTCAGTCCAGTTGCAGTGTGTGCATAGATAGCCAGCTGGTTGATGGAAGGAAATCTCCTCTGTAAGCAGAGGGACACCTTGAATGAAAGGTGGACAAAAGGATTTTGATAGACATGTGCACTGGGGTATCCCAAGCTTGTAAGAGGACACTCCAACGTCCCACACTGTACTTGGTTATCATTGTACCCCTACCACCTTAATAATATTTTATTTGGGGAAAGTGAGGTGGTCCAGCAGCTAAAGACTCATGTTGCACAGGCCTACAAGGTGATGTCAATCCCAGGAACCCACAGTAGGAGAGAACCAGCTCCCACAGTCGTCCTCTGACCTCCATATTCATTCAGGCCATGAAGTGCATGAACATGTATGTGCACAAGGCTACACGCACACACACACACACACACACACACACACACACACACACATCAAGAAATGAATATTAATTAGAAGATGACATGAAAACATATAGTGGGAATTATATTGTCTGACTTGGCACCTGATCTTGGCCCAAAAGTGAAGAAGCCATGCTATTCAAGTATGAAAGCATTGACTGGCACACATCATGCCTAAGCATGTGTGACGGGATGGGAGTAGGGTGATGCTAATGGACAGTTTTAAGTTCTTCCTGTATACTCGGAAATTTATTTTCTTAAGCTATACTTATTTAGACGAGGCTTTCTGTGAGGTTTTTGGAGGTGGGGTCAGCTTGAATCTTTTCCTTCTCTGATAATGTTTTCAGCTTTGTCCTGACCATTGATAAAGAAAATAGCTTTGTCACAAATACTTGCTACTTTAAAGTGGTTAATGCACTGCACCCAACCTTATGTGCACATTTACATATTACAGTTCAAAACTTTCCCAACACAGAACCTTTCCCACGCACCAGCCAGCCGTTCCGCTGGTCTGTCCATGTAGTATGGGGTTTTCTCTCTTTGAAGTTTGAATTAGGCCCTAATCTTTCCTCTGACCCTAAAATGTAGTTGATTCCTTTGGACTATCCTTAAAATCCACACATCTTCCAGGAGGTAATAATGAAAGTCAAAATTAAATACAGATTTAAACAGGTTTTGTTTTCTATTTACATTTCACAGGTTTTTTTAAAATTTTATCTGTGGATTAATTATATATCATTAATCAAGTTAGATATTTGGCAGTATAGAAAAAAATAACTACTCCCCAGTATTACCCCTAAGACTGGCAAGCTAACCCATATGTACTTCTTTCTCCTTCACTCATCCTTGCTGCATTTTCGATGCTGAAGACAAAGTAAAATGCAGCCATATTTACACAAACAAGATTTAACCTGAGAGAAACGGGGCGTAACACCGAGTTCCTAGCACAAGATTAAATCCAAGAAATGGCACCACCTTGAGACTTCTACAATTAGAATTGCAGTTTGGCTGTCATTGTCGTTTAATATAAATAGTTTTATAACTTTCTTGCCTTCAAATACATCTTAAAATCCACTCACTTACTGAAGCAAAGCTACCATGGATTGCATACTGAAAAGATTTAGTCAAGCCTGGAGATTAGCAGAGATTATCTCAAAACCCATTTGTACTTGTTCCTTGTGACAGGGATTTTATGGTCATTTGGCAGCATGCTGGTGGCATTCTTTCCTCACAGAGAGATCTTTGTGGTGTCCCCTTTGGATACATTCATTATGTCTTCAGCATCTTATGTCAGTTCATGGTTTCATTTTGGCTAGACAGTACTTTTCGAGTCCAAATGAAATTCTTTGTTCATCTTATTTTTGAGACACTACAAGGAAGCCTTAAGCAACATAACTGTTTCTCAATATTCTATGGTCAAGTGTTACCTGAGGTTTTTGCTAAGACCTCAGACCAGGTCCACTGATAGGAGACTATTGTGTTGTTTCATGTGACTTATTTCAGTTAAGGACTTTTTCTTCAAGGAAAACCTGAGGAGAGTTTTTGTATCTCACGGCCTTGGATCTCTTGCTTGTAATCATGGAGTTATGTAATCCTCCTTCAAGTCCCCAGTAGTATGCCTATGGCCATGTAATGGATAATGGCAGGGCCAAGACATCATTAGGAACATGTGGGAAGTGTTTTGTTATATTCATGTTACCATGAATGGAAGAGAAAAGCAAACAATATGATTGAATGGATGAAGAATACCTCATTTATATCACAGCAATTAGGTGAGTGTTGAAGAGCAGAGTGGATAAAAGAGGAAGCCTCAAAGATGCCTCAGCCAGCTTAAAGCAAGCTCCTTCACACTGAGCTCCACACCTCATGAGAGTAGGTCCTATTACCTCCTTTTTTTTATTTAAAGATTTATTTTTCTCAGGTGTATGTTAGTGAATCTATGTGTAGTTATGTGCACCTGTGTGCAGGTACCCCCAGGAGTCAGAAGAGGGCAATAGAACTCTTGGATTGCAGCCCCAGGCGGTTGTGAACCAACACAGGTGAGAGCTGGAAACTGAACTCTGGTCTCTGTAAGAGGAGCAAATGCTCAGCCACAGCAAGCATCTTTTCACCCCCAAATTCTAGCACTTTCATGATTCTTCTGAGGAAGTGTGGCACCCACACTCTAACACACTCTTGGTAGAAGGCTTCTGTATTCTGTTCTTCTCAGAAAGCACACCATCAGAACACTCCCAGTCACCTGACCTCTGCTGAGACTGACATGTGACTCCTTGGCCTATGGCTTCTTAGTTTCAGAAAGCAACTACCACTGTCAGCTGACCTCTCCTGAGGTTAACATTTAGCACTCAAGGACCATGGGCTTCTCAGTTTCGATCCTTGGAAGTAATTTGCGTTTCCACCTTAATAGAAGAGAATTTGAGGATAAGGTGTTTAAAGTTTTACCGCTAATCATGACAGAAGGTTGTTCAGTCAACCATCCCACCAACTGAAGTCCTTGTTGTTTGCATTGATTTTGCTCTGACGTTTCCTCATTCTCACTCGTAGGGTACAGTCTTGAGCTGTACAGTGAAAAACAAGTCTTCTTGAAAGGTGGACTTTCATGTAGAAGCTGGGAAAGTTGTCATGTTGGAATCAGGCAGGGAAAAGCCAGACATAGAATTGGGTGTTCCTGCAATTCTGAGCTGGTCAGAACCGGAGAGAGCAGAGCTGGCTGTGGTGTGTTGGTGTGTTAGCTCCACACACTGCAGGATGCTCAAGTGCAAATGCCAAATGTTTCTTACGCACAAACATGGCTTGTCTTATCTCCAGTGTCCAGCACTGGCCCTTGCCTCAGAAAGATTTTACATCTGTTGACTCAAAGTGAATGTTTCACACAGCGCAGCAAAGAGCACATCCTTTTTATTTAGCAGGTTTGTGTGACTGTGTGTCTGTCTAGGCACTGGTCTTCTTTGT